AATTGTTTCATTAACAAGTATTATAAATAAATTTGTTTATTAATATATTCAAATTATACAATTTAGCAAATGTACAAACTTGTGTGAAATGCACAAAGTAAGGTACATAAATGTGAAAAAAGTTATAACTCTCAAATAATCAAACACGTTCATTGTAGTTAAACTAGATTGGATACTTTACACTAATAATTAAAATATTTATAGGTTAGAAACAAAATATTGTATTTCATATAATTAATGTAATAAAACCTTTAGTATATTTATATTTAAATATTGAAAAAAATTATGAATTTTATAAAATATATATTGATTGAATATTAATAATCTGTGTTTAAGTTAAATAAATAAAATTGCATAATATATACAGAAAATTTATAGAGTAAATTTAATGGCAGAATAATATCTTCACATTGCAGTAAAAAAAAAGTAAAATTTGTATAAATTATTAAAATACTTTAAAAAATTAAAATTTTATTATAAAAAAACCTATATTAATATTGCTATAATTGTTTATTATTTAATACGATTAATAGATATAAAATTTATATAACTTTGAATATTCTAAGCTAATAATTTTTATTTACAATAGAATTGATCAATGATTATTACTGCGAAATAACTTCTTAAATTAAATTAAATGTATTTACTTTTGTAAACATTATAAACAATAGTTATATTTATATTTATATTGAAATATATACAAAAAATTAGGTTTAAATAGTTATAGAAAACATCATTTATGCAATAATCATATAAACGCACTCACAGGATGCTCGTAAAGACTTTTTAAAGTTTTAATAAATTAAATTTTTTAAGTAAATACAAATCAACATATTCTAATCAATATTTTATCATATAGATATTATATATTTTTGTTTATTTTCAATGTATTGATCAATGTATATATATCTATTCATCAAATATGCATATTAAGAATTAATTAAAAATATCTTTAGTTATATGTACATGATTTTAATTAAAAGTAATTAAGTATTCGATGCTCAATTTTTTATAAAAACGCTGAACATATTGATTATCATTATGAAGAATATATTCATGATTATATTTAAAACAAGAACTTATGAATTTTTTTTTATAAAATTGTATGACTAGTAAATGTAATGCTAATGAACAACTAATTATAATATAATAATATTTATATTATAATGATTATACTGTAGCAATCACAATACAGCAATATTTATCCGAAGACTTTTTATGCCTTGTTAATTCGTAATTAACATTGATAATATAGAAATTATTGGACAACTTTTTACATTTATTATGATTTAATATAAATTTACATTATATATGTATATAAGCTTATAACTTGTAATATACAATTCTCTTCAAATTAATTTTATTAAAATGAATTGAATTGTATATAAATTCAAATTTTTACATACTTAATAAAAAAATCTTTTTTTAATAAAGATAATATAATATTAATAACAGTAATAGTAGTATTAGTAATAATGGTAGTAGAACTAGTAATAAATATTAATAATAGTATTTGTAGTAGTAGGAATAATACTAGTAAGTCGTCGCATTTGTAGTTTATGATTTTTAATATTTTCAACCTATATTCATAGATTTTTCTTATTTTACACTCAGATTTAGAAAGATGTAATTTGAGTTGCTGAGTTTATAATTATCCGTTGTCACTGCTTCATATCTAAAACTTTAGAAGTATTTAATATGAAGCTTATAGTAAATTATTTAATGTTCATTATATTTAGATCATCTGCATCTCCTCTATCGCAAAAGCTACGTATCAAAAATAGATTTAAGAACATTCTTACCATTAACTTCTTTCTTCACATTTTCTAGAGTTTTTTTCACTTTAAATTTTAATTTATATATATATATATTATTTACTGATTTATACCTTAATTATTTTTAATTTACTTAATATCTTTCAATCAAGAGATTTAATTTTAAATATTTTTTTTAATTGATAGAAAGCTTTATTTATTTAGTAGATGAATCAAGAGTCAATTTATAATAGATTTATTAAATTATTTGGCAAAAATCCTTACTATGAGACATTTTATTTCCAGTATTATTATATTATAAATTATTATATTTATATATTATAAATATAATATTATAAATCAGTATTATAATATTATATATTATAAATTTATATATATATATATATATATATATATTATTATATTTGTACTTGTAAAACTTTTGTAAGTATATTACAACGCCATTCAGTGTCAACAAGACTTATTAAGGATTACTGTATTAAGGAATATTCAAGGCAATAATTTCCATGTTTCTAGATATATAAAAAATCAGTATAGGAAATTAATATATAAAGAAAGTGAATCGTATTTGTGACTTAAAAAACCAAAATAAAGAGATATATTTGATATTTAAATTAATATGGATAGTATTGTTTCTAAACACGAATTACTCTCACGTTGGAACTTGAATTTGTTTATACATAATAACAATGTTACTTTTATTTGTAGATTTTATTGTGCGGCTTGGTTTGATTATATTAAACGTGTGATATGTTAAAGAATAATTCTATTTTAATACTCTAATGATAATGTCAAATCTCATTTTTAATGTGTCTGACGAATCGTGGTATATTTGAATATTATAAAATCGACTCATCCTTTAAAATTTCTTTTCATTACATTATCTGTGTATGTGAGTTTCTCGATTACCAATACAAATAACCGTAAAATTAAAATACAATTATAGAATATATTCAACGTTTAATTGTAAGCAATAGAACTTGTTTTTTGTACAAACTGATGATAAAAGCCTAATCAATTAACATACTATGATTATCTTCTTACACTAAATCAGAAATCATCTGTAATACAAAAAGAAGTTTCTATTATTTTTCTTCTTATATATGTATATATATAATTAAATCAATAATAAATTATTAAGTAAATACATCATATAAAATCTAATGCTATTATATTAAAACAAATACAACAATAATAATTTATATTAAATGAGAATAGTATAAATTTTATATTTGCATGGAAATTTTCACTGAAAAGAATATATTAATAATGATATAATCTAATAATGCACAATAGCACAATAATATATTTATAAGAAACGTAAACAGTTACACGTGTATAATAGAAAAATCATCGACCTATTAAATAGCTTAAAAAATGATAATTTTGAAGAATTAAATATTCCTACATAAAATAATATAATTTTCTGTTTATAAATATATAGGCTTAAGATATTTTAACAGGAAAATAATATAACACTATATAATATCGAATAAATTCAGACTTTACCTATTGTTATAAATATATAAGCCATTTCTAGCTTCAATTACGAGGCCTTAAATATTAATTAACTATAATTTAAAAAGAAAACTTTAGTACATTTTTTAAATAAATATTTTGGAATATCATGAACTTTAGAAAGTATTTAATAAAAAAAATATGAAGTGTAAATTTTTATAAGTTTAATAAAGAGAAAGTCAAATACAGAAAAATAGACAAATACTTAAATACACCTGCGCTTAATCTATTAGATGATTATACATAGAAATTTAAAAAGTTTATATTATCTTTCGTCCACACACACACGCACACACACACACACACACACACACACACACACACACACACACATATATATATATATATATATACAATTATATAAAGAAGTGTGTAAGCTATTAATGTAAATTTACTGATGAGAGTAATCTGAAATATAATCGAGTTAAAAACTTAATTCATAAAAAGTTGGATATTCATAATTAGAAAGGAAAACATAGATCGCTATTTAAAATTGACATATTCATCAAGTTCTTAATTAAGTAATCAAATGTATAAAATCTAATTCTACACGTCCAACGACGACAAAATATAACAAGAAAAAAGCCCAGATTAGCAAAAAACTACAATATGATCGATCACAGGAGAAATATAAATAACGATTATTAGTTTAATAAGTTTAATAATATGTAAAGAATAGAAAAACTATATGAAAAAAAAAAAATCAAGAATAGTTAAACTCCTGGCAAGGCTTGACTCTTTATATCACGCCATCTTCAGCTCTAAATCATTAATTTCCTAAAAATGCTAACATTCCAACATTTGCCTATATACCTTTCTATCAGTTTTTTTTCTCACTTACTGCCTATTTCTCTTTCTCGTTATGATGATATATTTCTTCAAACAATAATATTTATTATGATTCAGTACGATTAAAGTGAATTGTTGAAACACCAAGCTCGTTTAGATGTAACGCCAATCAATTTTTGGGTTCAATAAAATCTGATAAACCGAAAAATTCATTAATTTTGTTATAAATATTTATATAATAACGTTGATAAATTAAAAAAGAAAAAGCTACAATTAGTATGTAAAAGGTGTTTCTTCATTTCACTCGAAGACTTAAGCAATGTACTTTGCAAATGATTAAAGCTTGAACTTTAGTAGTTTTGATTGCATGCTAAACGATAGCCTGATTACTATAACTTTTAACTTTCTATAATTTTAACTATTTTAACTATTTTATAATTTTCCACTATTCTCTATGAATTTTAAGAAAAGAACAAATAACTTGTATTGGATTGGAAGAAATTCGCGATACTTAAATGAATCTTACAATTGAAATTTAAAGAACCGTTAAAGAAACCGTGAAAATTATTTAATATCATACGTTTGAACATAAATGAAAATAATCTATTTTTGGAATATTTTTATAATATCAGTATATATTTTATTAATCCCCAGTTACTTAAAATATTTACAATTGAGAATATCTATGTTTGTTCAATAAAATTTCATAACAAATAAAAGTGAATTTTATAATATTTAAAAATACTTTCTAATTTTACTTGAATTATATCACAAATTTTATAAACTATTTTTATTTGAATTCAAGATATAAGTATAAATTGTAAAATCAATACCACCATTTTATTCGTTCTTCTCTTCATCCTTCTATTATGATATTTACATAAATTATTGAAATTGACTGTTTGAGCATCGTTCTAGGAGCAAATAGCTAAAGAGAGACAGGTGACGGGTCGCGTACAAATTCAAGTTTGGTACGAAGCAGATCGCAAAGAACTCGTTGTTTCCGTTCTTGCTGCTGATGATCTCTGTACTCGAGAAGATACCGGATACGGAACTGCACCAGAAGCTTTTGCTAAGCTTGATTTAATCTCACCGAGGTAGGCATTTCATATTTCGAGAACTATTATATAATTTAATAATTTTCTTGAGGTGGTGTAAATGTTAGTTACATTATGTTTAAGCATTCATATAACAATTTAAACGATTCAATTCAAAATAACTCACGTGAAAAATTGAATTATCTTTTCAAAGAAATCTCAGGTATTATTGATGTGCAAGTTATTTACAATTTTTATCAATTTCATTGCAACTTTTTTTTTTAACAATTATATAATAAATAGTTATATAAATCTATAAATAAAAAATAGTATTTTCTCGTAGAATTTGATATTAATAATATTTTATATTTATTTTAACATAATATGCTTACATTATTATTCAAACATATTTAATTATCACTTTGTAAATTCACAAAATTTTATGTGTGTGTGTGTGTGTGTGTGTGTGTGTGTGTGTGTGTGTGTTTAAAAAAGTAATTATTACATTATTACATACTAGTTATATTATTATTCATAATGTAAAAATAATAAACTTTTTTTTATGGAGTAACATTATTTAATAAAGAAATTTTATGAAATAAAATAGTACATTCTTCACGTATAATCATTCCTATTCTTCAGAATTACATAAGACTCGTATTTATGAACTTTCATGCTCCTAAGTATTAACATACTGTCATATATGTAACATATACCATTTCTCATAGGTATTAAAAATTTAAAAATAACACAGACGTTTATTTGAATTCACTCTCTTTTTTTTTTATTTTTTTATTTTTTATTTTATAGTGGTGATTCTACATCGCTGAAAACGGATGTGGCTGAACCAACGCATAATCCAATTTGGAATGCAACGTTAAACTTCGCGGGTGTAGCTGGTGAACAGCTAATAGATCGATTGATCGATGTAACTTTATGGGACTATTGTCCTGATAGAGAGAGCATGTTTTTAGGTGGTTGTTCAATTGATCTTACGAGCGCCTTTGAGGCAGATCGAGCAGTTTGGTAAATTAAAAAATACAATTTGACGTATAAAAAATCGAGCAGTTACAGGCAATTAATTTAAAAAGATAATGATATAATAATAAGGAATATATTTAGATATTTTCAGTTTAGTGAAATAAATATACTGTAGACGCATCATTTCTCAACTATTATAATATTTTTAATTTATTTATACGCCTAAATAAATCGATAAAAATAATTTGATCCATGAAAAGTTCTTCAGTTATAGTCAAACTTTGAATAATATTATACAAATTATTATATAATTTTTACATAATTAAATAATAATTTTATCTGAGTATATTAATAAATATTACATAAATAATATATTAAAAATGCTAATAATTGTTATTAAAAAAAAAAAAAAAAAAAAAAAAAAATTTTTTTAAAAAAAAAAAAAAAAAAAAAAAAGAATGATCAATAAATATCAAAATCACCTCCAATTTTAATCTGTACAGAATATAATTTAATATAAATAGTATAATTATAAATTCAAAAAATTAAATTTTAAAAAATTTTTGATCTCATACAAAATATAAATATTTCATACTGTGATAAATTATATAAATGTGATATACAATTATATAATTAATCAATTGTATTGTCTAGAGAAATATTATTTATATTTAATTGTATACTTATAGCAATCAATGTATTCTCAGATAATAAAAATGAAAATGATGATTTCATCATGAATATTTAATTTATAAAATAAAAAATTATTTTCAATATTCTTAGCTATTTCATAGGAAATTATACTTCAAACAACAACTAACCCTATATTTTGCAATAAAAATATAAGTGTAAATCGATAATAAATTGTATGAGTTTTACAAAAAAGTATAGAAAAAATTTCTGTTTAACCTAATTGCAAGAAATACTTATATTATAATATAAAGGACAGAAATGATTATGTACAACTGCTTATTCGGTTAATTTATATTAGTGCAGCTTTACTAGAAACGATAGTGGCCTATATTTAATTAAAACTAACCTATTTATAATGATGCGAGGCATATAATTGAATGAATATATTCCGACAAAAAGGTACCGCTTGGAAGATCCACGAGGACTGCGCTCTGGTAAATCGCCACACTGTTCGCCACGCGGATCACTCTCAATCGAACTTGCTCAGCGATTGTTACGCAGAACAGATTTGCGCGAGCGGAGTTACAGCGATGACACGCAAAGTGATAGTGGAAGTCCCGAACCTTACCACTTACATCCAGATCATGCCTGGCTTTCGAACTCCCGACGTGGTTCTAGTCAATCCGAACAACTGGAGATCGAGCCTTACGAACTCAGCAAAGACTATAGTCACTCGTTGCCTGGCAGTAGGCGTAGCAGTTTTCAAAGCCAAATTGCTGGTACTGACAGTAAACGTAAGTATTTTACTTTCTTATTGGATTTGACGAGAGTAATTACTGGCGCTATATCAATAAATAGCTTCTACGAACTATATGCTATCATCACATTTCATATTCCTGCAATAATAATTTGATATACAATTTATTATTGAATTGCTCGTAAAGCTTTGTATTTATAATTACAAGCCGGAATCATAAGTTCAAAATCGAGCGTATAATTACATAATTAATTAGAGCCGAAATAATGTAATGTGAATAACTAACGTAAAAATAGTCACGCCTATCAATACTACTAGTACATGATAATTCCTAATAGTTTACTTTTAGGAGCTTATATATATATATATATTTTCTAAGAGTTTTTTTTTATGAGCTTATATATATATATATATATATATATATATATATATATATATATATATATATATAACTTTGAATATTGTATTAATACATAAACATAAGTATGTCAAAGTATGGCACTTAATCTATATATTCTAAAATATTTATTACAAACTAAAATGGTAATGCATCATCATAACTCATCTGAATGTGCTAAAATTTTGTAAATCATTCGCACATAATCATTTATATAATTGTCATAAAGTTTTTACGTTATTCTGATGATTTTTATTTTTCAATTTATAATGTTATTTAAGTTATTTAAGCTAAGATTTATATATATATATATATATATATATATAAACAAGGGCCATGAGATGATATGATATGGAAAGTATCGTTTATTTAAAAAAAATATGAAAAATATTGGTAAACTTCATTCTCCAGGAGGTAGTATGGGAGACGCGGAGGTCTCTGTCACTCATTACAATCGTGAGAGGCGACGTAGTTCTTTTGCACGGCCGATGCGAGATCAAGAAGAGATACTTGAAACCCTACGTAATCTTAAAGCTCAAGGTGGAAAGGAACTCTCACGTACAATGAGTCTCTCCGGAGAGAAGAGACGACCCAACCGTAAGTATTTATTACTCCGGTCAAAATGTGCTTCTACACTGTTGTTTCTCATCCAACCTTCTTCGTCTCATTGTCACTTCTATTTATGTGAATGTTACCATCTTAATTATTGGTATTTGTCCTAGAAATAAAGAAGGAAAGCGCAAAATTATTAATCTCCTGCATTGTTTATCACTCTTTGTATTGACTCATAGCTTAAGCAGCAGACAAGTGATGTTCGCCAAACAAAATTAAACTCGTTTAATATATACGTACGTATTGTAAACTGATAATAAGAATTTCTAATAATTATGAAATATCTTCATATTAATAATATAGGTACGTGTGTGGGCGTAGATGCATTCAAGATCTTTTATTAGACAGAGCATCGTGTTTATTGCTTTCACATTAATGTTAAACATTTATAGGTTAATTACATTTACCTTACTCTCTTTTCATGTGTCGTTGTATTTGTTTAGCACTTTGACTGGCCATAAATCGAATTTATCATTCTACCAATTCGCTACGATAAGCATTATTTATCGAATGATAGTGATATTCTTTGTAAAAAATTATTTCGAACTTTGATTCGTAAAGTCATGTGTCAATACTTTCATGGAAAATTTTTGGCAATTTCAGAAATTAGCGGAAATTAAAGTTAATCGACGGTTGTACCGTTGCACTCATATTTTAGATATCACTTATACTTTCAGAAATCAACGTACAATTAAAATTATAGATAAATATTATTCCTACAAATCATTAACCGAGGAATTTAATTAAAATACTATAAATTAAAAAAAATTCTATATTCAAATCTAAATTTATAAAATTTTACAATTTTATTTCGTGTTTATTCATGTTTATTTATTATTTCATACGTTCTTTTCCCTTTATTCTTCTGTATTTTGTCTTGGATAATAAATATCATTCACGCGCTCAATGGAAGGAATCATAATTTCAATATATTATCCATTGTGTATTCGAGAAAAGCTCCCTCATCCCCATGCGTAATAGCTCTCCTACTCCTTACATTTCTTTCCACTCCCTAACTTCGCCTACTCACTGAATTACAAATTTAATTTACACCTATGAATGCAAGATGTCTCGTATCTACAATTATTGTCTTTAATAATTTATTTCTAATTTTTTATAAAAAGTTTTGTGATTACATTAGATGATTGTTTGGCAATTTTTCTGATATTATATGTAAAAGTACACTACCGAAATATAAATAATAAAAATTACACACACCTGTGTTTTAATAATGTACTTTTACGAAAGATTATATCAAAATATAAAATTCTATACAGAAAAATAATTTAAAATATTATTTCATCTTAATGCAAGTGAATTGATTAAAAATTGATTACTGCAGTAAAAATTACAAACTATTTAAACATTTACGAATTAGAAAAATAATTTTTTATCACTTAACAATTTACATTGAAAGACGTAAGTTTTATTTATGTCATTAATGTGTTTAACACAGAAAGTATAAGTTATTATTGAATAAATAGGTATGCAATACTTAATATATGTATAAAATAAAAAATAAATAAATATATTTTTTTTAATCAAAAGACTATTATGTTTCATTTTAATCCTGCCATTTTCCAAATTACAGTGAGTTTCAAAATATTACTTTATCTATTCATAAATGGAAAATGACAAAATAGTGTAGCTTCTGTAATTTTTCAATCTTATAATTAAATCTTAAATTTAATATTCTAACTTTGAGACTATACATTTCTATATTATACAGGAATATTTATATATATCCTATGAATAAGTTTGTTCTGTCCTTGGTATTAATCATAGAATTAAAGAGCATTCCTTTATTCGTAAACTGTTCTTATAGCATTAAAAATTCATTATAATTTAAAAAATATTTGCATTCATCGGCATCTGTATTAAATAGAAAATTGGCAGACTTTATCAATAAAAATTATACTATACATAAACGCCTTAAAAATTAAAAAATAAAAATATGATAATTGACAAACAGTTTTTTTTTCCATTCTAATTATAATACTTAACATGTCTAACATTTATATATATTTACCATTAGTTTCAGTCATTATAACGAAGAATCTGAATCTGAAATTTACATCATTGCTTTAATTTTTATCATCTACATGAATTGTGCCACATGATATATATATATATATATATATATATATATATATATATACACTCACACATGTAAGCCTTATACATGTTTATGTCATTTTACGTGCTTTTGTGTATCTGTCGATTTAAAGGCTTTGACGTAAGTGCTTTAAATAATGTTGTATTGCATATACATGCTAATGAATATGTAATAATTTGCATTAAAAGAATAGAATGTCATTACGAATAATAAGTTTTTAACGGAGCTTATTATTATTTACGTCTAAATATGTCAATTTTCAATTGCTATGTTTATAAATAGGCTAAACATCTTTCACTCGGATTAATGGTTTTAATGTATCCTCAAATTTTCATATCGAATTTTCATAATCATTATTGTGCTGTTTACGTCTTCGTATTTGTCAATTCATACATTTTATCTTTTTAAATAAATTATATATAAATATTACCGTTTCTTTTATTTCATTTAATATATCATTGTATGTAAAACTACATAACACTTTTATTCAAATAATATAATACTTTTCTTACATAATAAAAACATAGATATGTATTTTATTATGAAATATAAATTATTTTCTCCATGTATATTTATAACAATTTGCAATGCTTTTTCAATTATATATGTATATTTCCATTTTTATAATATTGTCGTGCAATTAACATTATGCTACAAACAAATACTATAAAACTTCAAATTTTTAAAAATTGCCTTCGGTTTATTACTCCATTTATTATTTATTTCAAATTTATTGTATACATTTTCTTTAACTTTTCATTCAATTATTTATTTTATTTTCTTAGTGGTTACGAATGTATTTTGTACACGATCTGTGATATTTTTCTTCTTGCAATTTCACTCGAGTTTTAGAAATGCTAAAGTTACTTTTAACTTTAATTAAGATTGAAAGATCTTTCAATTGATGAGAAATTTCAAATAACATTTTTTTTTTCTTATTACGTAAAAGAAATTACAACTGTTTTACTCTAGATTGAACTTTAAACATTTTCATTTTGAACAATTATTTTCAAAAAATGTTAATAACATAATCTATCTAAGTTATCCATATATATTTATAATAAATTAATAAATTTTTAGAGTATAGCATAAAATTTAAAAAATAATAAATTTATTTATTATTATAACTTTATATTATAACTATTTATTATAACTTTATTGACAGTTTATTTGTAATTTAAACAATTATTGTTCAAATAAAGTATAATTTCTATATTTATCTATAATATAGATTATTTATTGAAAATAACTCGTATTTACAATATGTACCAGTACAGTTTATTTAATAAAAAGATCCTCCAATTTTATAATTTCATTAATTTCAAAATTGTTTATTATTTTTTTTAAATAATTTTTTTTAAATTACAACACAGCCATTCAAGTATTTTTATATACTAAATTTTATTATTTATGTGTTATTTTTATAAATTATGTATATATATATATACAGATACATATTTATATTAACATTTGTATTTATGCACGCATACGTAAATATTATGAATAATATAATATACTTTAATTAGTTATACTGGTAAAGAGGAAGGGAGGGAGAGAGAGAGAGAGAGAGAGAGAGAGGGAGAGAGAGAGTGTGTGTGTGTGTGTGCGCGCGCGCGCGCGTATGTGTGATTCAATTTACAAAAGTAAAGTACATGCCAAATAAGAAGAAGAATAAATATCGATAGCTCAATATTTACTTGTTTTTATTTTCTTATATTTGTTATTCAATGTCGTTCATCTTTTTCTACATAGCCATAATCGAAAATATTTATTAAGCTATTTTATGTTTTTACGAATCTAAATATTTAAAAACTCAAACCTCCAGATAATGCTATAATGATTAAAGCTTACTAGATATTATAAATATTAAATATCTTAAAGTATACTTTTCTTGTTCAATTCCTCTTCTGCAATGCAACAATGTTGCACGAAACATCTAAAAGAAACAACATTTTTAAGTATCGCGTTGTTCGCTCGGTTGAAAACGCGATGTGATAACGCCCAAACCAGCCCGTATAAATTCTGTTATTGTACGACCACTGCCACTTACTAATACTACTATATCGCCACCAACCATTGCTTCGATCAAACGCTTGAACCATCAATACATACATATATATACATATATATACACACACATATACACACACACACACACACACACACACACACACACACATATATATATATATATATATATATATATATAAACATTATTTGTGTAAACAAACCAAAAATCACCACTCCGGTAATGGACCAAATCGGTGCTGACGTATTCGATTCTGTATGCTTAATCTCAAACGTCATCAAAATACTAATATTAAAATAATTGAAATAATCGAAAAAACGACGGCAGAGTACGTAGTCCCAACAGTTACCGTGTGGCAGTGCGAACCTGTGTCTCCGAGGACCGCTAAATCGGCCTCCTTCCCCACACCGCACGTCACAACACCCCGATAGATTACACTGGCAAGCCACCCGCGAACGACGCTATGGGCATCTGGTAAGATTCACGTTTCTTTCTCTTTCTTTCAGACTATACATTATCTGCAAAGTAATACCGCTTGTAGATCTATGCATGAAGGGAAAACATAGGAACAAGTCCTACTCTTAACCAATAAAATACAATACTTTGAATTTTATACTCTCATAGTTTTTCAAGCTTATTACTATTTATTGATTAAGAGGGAAATTTGTATACAACTTTCTTCCTTATTAATGCGAAAGACCAATTATTTTTCTACTACAATTTTTGGATTTTTTGTTAATTGTTAATATAATACATAGACGTAATTCTTTATTGAATTTACATAAATATTCAATGTAATAATTCAAGTAGCTTCTGCATTTTGCAACCCATGAGAAAAATTCATAAATAACGAACGGATTAATTCAATTTGATAGTATGAATTGTCGAGATGAATTCATTATATCTAATATATCCAGTTATCAAAGAATATTCATATTTCAATTAAATTATCTATCATAAATTAGACAAGTGCTTTCGTTGCATAAAATTCTGCTTTGTAAATAAATTAAACATCATTTTATTATTTCATCGATGAAATATAATTGAATATTTTATCTACGTAAACCATTCTGTAAATAAATGTGGAGATATATATCTTATTACAATATTTTAGCTATTTTTCTCTTGACTCGATATTGATCAGAATCTGAATATATTGTAATATATTAAAAAAATTGTGTTTCAATCAAAATAAAATATTATTATTATATTTCATGAGGAATATAATGTTCCTATGTAATATAATTTTTGTTATACAATACAAACATATTTTTGCAATATTTTTCCAATATTTTTATTAATGTTTTAAATATTACTTCTGCTTTGTTTAATATAAGATAATTAAACTAATTATACATTTTAAATAAATATTTTTCCTTCAAAATTTTTTTATATACTAATAATTTTATTTAATAAATTATGTTCATTGTAAAAACAATCATAATAAACTTGTTAAAAAACAATTACGGAGCATTTTTTTTTAATTATGAAATAGAATATACTTTAAGTGATTTTAAATCAATTATGCAAAATTAATTTAATATTTACCTAATTTATTTATTTTAAATGTATTACAAAAATTTTTAATTTGTCTTCTTTATAGTATAACTGCTGCGTGCATTATAAGTCGCTTTATAAGCATTTTTACATTTTGTTGATTCTCTACGTTCATATATCTGAACTTAATTAACAAGCGATTTGATTCTTGCTTGATGATTTATTTACTTTTATATATATATATATATATAGATAAATACACATATAAATATTAGTAAGTTACTGTATAGCTACTTCAACAGATGTTACTACGGTTTTGCTACCTGCTGTTGTGACTTCGGTAAGAGAGAAATCGTCGAGCCAAACTTTGGAAACTGTGTTTTTGAATTATTTCATACGACATAACACAAATCGTCCATCGAAATTTTCTTTATTAATGTACATCGTAAATTTCTGCTTTATTTACTTTCGAATTTTAATTATATTATATTTAACATCTTTAACAAAAACTATTAAAAAAACTATTAAACATTTAACAGAAATTTACAAATTATTATTAACGATTAATTGCGGTTTAATATTCAATCACAAAATAGAATATTTTTAGACTTTTAATAAATAGAAATAATAATAATATTACTACAATATATATATGTATGTTATTCTAATCAATTATGCTTCTAAAATATGTTACTGTGTGAAGCTTGGATGTGTTAGTTCAAATAAATAAAAATTTGAACTCTAACTTAGAGAACTGTTTACTATAATTTGATAATAACTATTATAATGCGTATATGCTTCGATAAAAAAAAATTCAATGAATAACGAATTCTTATGTTAAAGTATGAAGTTTGGTTCATCGAACCAAAAGTATTTGATTGCAGATTTTCTGGCTCGACGATTATGGTAGATTATAGAATGTATTTTAGATACTCTTTCTCTATCTTTATTAGTTATTTTATTTCTATCAATACTTCAAATAATTTCATTTAATAAAAGTTTTGAAAATAGTTGACCGTAAAGCTTAGTAGCTTTCTAGTGGCGAGCATTATTTAATTTGCTGAGCTTCCCTTCATTATCTCATATTTTTATATACATACATGCATAGCCAACTATGTATGCATATTTACGTACGTAATATTTTCTTTATTTACAATAGCATTTATAATAATTTTTTCATACCAACTTCACATGCTATAATTGCATATTTTTACCATTCAACGTTTTATTTTTCATTAAATTGAATTAAACTTAGAACTTTTAAAAATTCCTTAACTTTTATTAGAAACTTCTTATCGTTCATTAATTCGACCTTGAGTTCTACTTATTATTTCTTATTACGTATAAAACATGTGAACGAAACTAATAATAATCTTCCATTAATATTTGCTCGTTAGTACCTTAGTGAATGTTAATTTAATACAATTCTTATGTATCAAATACAAATGTTTATTTTATTTTATATATATAAAGATATTTTATTCCTATTATTTCAAGCACTTTTTTACGTACAATAGATACTATATAGTTAAATGGTTTTGCTGGATAATTATTATAATATAATAATCGAAAGTACGCATTTCAACAAATTAATTCTCGATAAAAATATTTTTTTTATAAGTATTTCTAAACGAATTCAACTACACTATATTTCATTAAACACAGATTATTATAGCAATTAGTGAACTTTGGTAACAATTCATTTTATTGAACAGGAAAATTTGCGTACTTTTGAATCTTTTATTTTATAACCTGTCTATGTTAATCAACTAAATCCAGATCAACTCATTAAATTGAAAATCATAGATTACGATCGAAGGTAAGAGGTTAAAATATATATAAAGATTTTATTTCCCCTATGCATACATTTTTTGCTAAGTCATCTTCCATGTAATCATTTAGATAAATGATTGTCTTAAACAGAATATAAAACAATCCTAAACGTGTCAAATGTATGTTAAAATAAAATATTATTATATTTCTCCTATATCTACGAAATAATGTTTTTTATTTATTCTACAACAAACACTTTTCATACTTATGAAATATATAATAGTAAAATTCATCCATAATAAAGGATAGGATTTTCAATAGAATTATGAAATTATATATAAATAAGAAGAGTTTGACAGTTGTACGAGTAAATAATACAAAAAAAAAGTTCAACTATTGTAAAATATAAAATTTTGTATCAAACATATGAATCGCGATAAACGTAAGGGAAAAAACTACATAACTAAAACTAATATAAAACATTATAAATTGTTTATAAGTCGACAGACCTTTGTTGATAAAAAAAAATTTTTTTGATAAATTTATTTTAATTCTAAGGAATAAAACCGATGACTATGTAAAAAAAAATATTTCCAGAAATATTTCAGTATAATCTCTGAACTGCAAAATATTTCTAGCCTCATTTTTAATTCCTATATAATTTCAGAATTAGGATTTTTAATGTAAAAGAGCAAAACAAAATGTTATAATAAATCCTTTATTGACTGAAAATCTTTAATTTTTCGTAAAACCTGTTATACGATTTTGTCTAACGTGTATACAAAACTATTGTATGCAGAATTCATTTAAATATTTAATTATGATTTTTCACAAGTACGGTTTGCTAATTTATTCAACCATAAGTTTAAAAATTATACATTAAATATTTCTCTATAGAGAGCATTATTAACTTACTGTATTTAGTAATTAACGTTCTACTAAACTTAACACATCTAAAGAACTGTTATTCATTCATTTATGTTTCTAACCCATTGATAGAATTTAATATCATTGTTATCTCATAAATGAATACATGAACAGTTCGTTAAATTTTTACATTTTTAAAATTAATTATATTAAAATATTACTCCTGATAGCTTATCGAAAATAGAAATTGTACTCTTACAAAAGTTCTATCTAAATACATCAATTATTTCCAAAACATTTCTGTCTCCTAATTTTTCTAATACGTGTCAAATAATCTACCTATATAATTATATAGGAAATATATATAATATTTCTATATAGAATTTCTATATAGAAATTTGTTTCATTACAATGAAACCTAAAATAAAAGATGAATTAATATACGTTTTTCTTTACATTATAATTTAAGATTCATTAAAGAAAAATATTAATATTAAAAAAAAAAAATTACATCTAATTGAATATTTAAAAATTTAATTATAATTTTTTATTGAATAATTTTTAACATTCTGCAGGATAGTATAATTATAATTTTCAATACTACATCAAATTTGATACATAAAAAGTGTATTAAAATTAACATAATCTTTAGATATAAACAATTATTTTATAATAAATAATTTACTATAAAAAATTGAATTAATTTTTTATATAAGAATATTATGAGTACGATGTTTTTTTTTTTTATCAATGTTATTTTCAAATTAAATAGTAACTTGCATTCCTTGAGTTTACGTTAAAATTTTGAAATGAAATAGTAAATTCATATTTATGTTTTCAAAATTCTTTGATTCATAAATAGTATAAACAATATATCTATTATTTAAAATTATATAATCTTATTTTATTTTAATTTAGAGGAATAATTATTGACAACAACCATTTTTTGTTTACCAATGAAATAGCATATTGCAAAGAAATAATCATATAGAAAAATTAATTACTATCTCTTAAATTTTAATATTACTAATTAAATAATAATTATTTCAAAACATTACTATTATGAAATAGTAATTAGTATTCAGAAAGTTATACAGTAAGTAATTTTGTATATCATTGAATTAATTCAAAGAATCCTGCTGGGCTTTTCAAAAGGCACAAAATACACTATTAAAATTAATGTTCAAATTACATAGATATATATTATAAAATCATTATTATTTTAGTAATGTAATTTACGTTTATTTTTACTTATTAAAATTATAAACTGAACTTTACAAATATTTGCAATTTGATAAATAAAATGCATAATTCATATATATATATATATATATATATATATATATACATATCTAGGTCATATAAATAATGTGTACTTTCGATTCCCTCAATAGAGTAGAGGCCTGTTTTATCTTTTTTTAAACTAAGACATGTATAATTTATAAAGGAATTATTAAAGAATGTAAAATTTAAATATAAAAAGCACTTGCCAAATGAAAATGTAGGATATAATAAAATACTATTAAAGTAGAAATAATTAGAAATTTTAATGAAATGTTTACAAATATACCTAATTAACTAGAAACTAATGTACCTAATAAGTATATTCAACATAAATCACCTTACTGTATATAATTATATATTTATCTATGTATTAGATAATTCATGTTATATAATGTAAGATATTGTGAGTTGATATATGACAAGAGGATTGATGCTCTTGAAATTCTACAATTATGAACATTGTTTTATTTATAGTAATTAAACTCTTGTAATCGTGTACTTTACAATTACAATTTATACAACTTATGAAAAGGCACATATATAAATCTATATATTGTAAGAAGCTTTCAGGTATATTCTGTAGGTAGATCTTCCATTAGATAACCTAATAATAATATTCCAAAACGTCAACGTAACTTCACAATTGAGCTTTTAAAAATATATATTTTTTGAAAACTCAATTGAAAAACTAAATATATGTCTATTTAAATTTACATTTAAATAAAACAATATGTATTTTATTGTAATAAAACAATAGAACTTAACTGAAATTCACTTCTCTCTTGACTTTTACGAGTTTATTGCAAGTTGTCTGATGCATGCTAAAGATGAGATTATTCTGTATATAATAGCTGTGAATAAAATTGTTACATTATGAAAAATAATAATATCAGAGACATAAGTATGTATGAGGCTTTTAAATTTCTTGATGAAATAAAAACTTCTCGGGTATATTTTAAACCCGTTGCTAGATGTGTGATAAATGAAAAGAGTGTATGTAATGTGTATGCCATGATATAATTGGAAGATTGAAACTAGAAATTCAAATCTGATATATTGAAATCATTGATCACAGGGAAGAGTGAGCGCAGAGAGAGCAGCGTCTTAGAAAGGGAAAGACGTAATTACGATAGAAATAGCGAGTCGGAGGAAGATGAAAAATGGAGGTAAATAATATTAATTTTCTTATTTTTAATAATTTTCTGTTTTTTTTTTGTTTTTTTTTCTATCTTTTGTACTTCTTTTATATTCTGCTATGTTATGATTTATAAATATAAAAATTTGAATACCAACCTATATTTATATGAATACGTGCACACTTTTGTACATAATTTTGATATACGACAGTGTTCTGATGGTAATAGCTTTTATTCAATAAATTTTCTAAAAAAAAAAAAAATTTTTTAAAAAAAAAAAAAAAAAAAAAAATAATAAAAAAACTAACCTTAATATAAAAAAAATATTAATAAAGATTGCCCAAATTAAGTGAATAATCATTTGTATCATTGGAAAAATAAAACTATTATAGCAATTGCAATGTTTTTTTATTGAACTAAAATTAACTTATAAAATTAACTTTACTAAATAAAGAATTTGTTGATTAACAACATTTATTTCTGATAAATTTCATAGTTCCCATAAAAAATTTATGACTCCTATATCTTTTATTAGATATAATATTAGAATGTATTTTATTTCCAATACTGAATTATTATTTTTATATTGATTATTTTGTTATTTTGAATAATATATATTTAGAGTATTAAATTTATTATTAAAGTACGTAATTATCCATGAAACGTGTAATGTATATCCATATAAATGAAAATATCAAAATAAACTATAATGACAAATAATAACATTGTAGAAGGTTGACTTTTTGCAGAAATGTTATTAAATTGTAATTGTGTTGTCGAATATTCACATTTATAGAATAAATTTGATAATTAATGGCATTTATATAGTCAATCAATGAAAGGTGCAAATGGTGGAGATTTAAACCTTGGACCTGGACAAATTGTACCGAAAGGTTATAAAGTATCGAAAGGTAATTTATCAAATTTGCATTCGTTTCTATATACAATCGATATACAAGGATATATAAGTTGCTCTTAAATTAAAAAATTTTAATGCTTTTTATTATACAGCACAGCAAAATGGTAAGGTGCAGCTAGCGATATTTTTAAGCAAAGGTAATCTTGAAGTAGAAGTAATTTCAGCAAAAGATATTTGCCAAACAGATATGGAAGAACCAGGTATATACATTCATTGAAAATTACTATAAATAAATCACTATCATTGCTTAAATACTGCATATTTATGTGCTATTAGAATTATTATAAAATTATTGGTAAAAAATTTATTTTATTTTTATTTCTATGAATAATTTATGATGGGATGAATAAAATACAGAATTTCATTAGGAGAGTTCGGACGATAATATTGACGATAATATTGACGATAATATAATACTGACGATACGATAATATCTGGACTTGATTTTACTCGTGGAAAATATATATTTATTATTATATAATAATAAAGGAAATGTAACTGTTATCTAATGATGTGATATCATTCATTTGAAATTAAAATTGTACAATAAGCAAGAAGCTTGGAATATTAATAATATTTCATATTTATTATATAGTTAAGCAACGTATTAAAAGCATATAAATTCTCAATCATCGCAATAATCAATTCGTATTTAATTATTATAAATAAATTTATCGGTATATTTGAGGAATAAAACTGTTAAAAATATCACAAGCATATAAATTCGATTACATTTATTTTCAAATACCAATAAATTTATTTAAATTTGTATATTAATAATATATAAGCATTTATTTTTAAGTACGTCTATATATTCTGGTATTCAAATACAATTCGTATCTTTAAAATTCAATTTGTAAAGCAATTGAGATAGTGCACTACACTTTTAAATAAATAGATGGATTTAGCTTAAAGCGATTAAGTTAAATTTTATATGTTAATAATGGGTATTGAATAATTTTATTAATGCTAGTATTTGAAGAATATAGCGGAATAATATGAAATTTGTGTATTATCATTACAGTTTGACTGTTATACCTTTTCAGACACATACATCAAGATGTATTTGCGTGCGGAGGAACGCTGGCTGCATAAACGCAAAACTCGTGTTGTACGCCACTCACGTAACCCCCAATACCGGCAGACTCTGAAATATCCGAGTTGCGATGCCTTGGGGCGTAATTTGTTGGTAATGCTTTGGGAAAAGAAACAAGGCTTCGAAAGTAACCAGGGACTTGGTGGTGCGGAAATTGAACTTGATGCTTTGGCATTAATGCGACAGACAATTGGATGGTATCATCTCTTCCCGATTCATACATTAGGCACCCAGAACGCCGATTCGCCATGATGGTTGCGGGAAAAATGGGCTCTCGAAGCTGGCGAACTTGACTTACGATTAAGCCTGCTAATTAAGGACGAAACTGAATCTGTTGTTAAAATTGTGTCCTAATAACAGTCATACAAGTAATTGATATGTCTGACAGATTTATTCAAACGAATAATCGATAATATCAACAATTTTCTCCTTGTCTTGCAATAAGTAGAATGCGCTGTTTGGATTTGCTGAGTTATCCATGGCTTAATACAATACTTTCCCAAATTTATTATAAAATAATATTAATTTGCTTCACGTTTTTGGTTAAGTGTGAAATAATTTTATATCTATTAAATCTATTATAGTGAAGCCATTGACACAGCTATTTCATTTTTTTTTCTTTTTTTTTTTTTTTTTTTTTTTTTTTTTTGATTTTATAAAGTAAAATTATTTGAACTGTACTTACAAATTTACTTATTTACATAAAAAGTTTATGTTATAATCACATCACCCTTAAATTAATTAATTATTGATCTTTAAATTATCGTGCGCTTTATAATTTAAACTTTAGTAATCGATCTAAATACTTGATACGAAATATTTAAATTAGAATTCCAGGACGTAAAACAAGTAAATAAATATTCAAAATAAATTATTCAAGAATTAATTATAATTTTTTTAGTGACTAAAATGATTAATAAAAGCAAAGGCTGTATGGATAAAATACCTATTCTTGTATTATGTATAAAAAATAAGGAAACTAATTAATATAATAATATGCAAGACAATCAATACTAAACAGGTAGAATTTTCACATCTATAAGGCATTGTGTATATATATATATATATATATATATATATATATATATATATATATATATATATATACACACATATATATATACATATATACATACTTATATAATGTGTGTGTATGTGTGTGTGTGCGTATGTGTGACTTTTATCAGAAATAAAACGACAATCATTGGTAAATATATTCTAACGAGATGTCAGTCACAAGGTGTGTGTGTCAAGCCAGTACGAGGGAGCGAGAGAATGAAACACAGCAAGAAAATACGAATAAGAAATAGAGTATCTGCTCAGAAAACAACTTAAAGCTTTTATTCCTTATTTATTATATGTTTATAATACAACGATGAATAATTGGTGTGACAATCATGGTAATACTCAGCAACTCTGGACGTCTTATTAAAAGCAATAAATGAAGTATATGCATAAAAAAAAAAAAAAAACATTTAAAACTTAATTGAGAATACGTAATAGAAGAGGGTAGATAGATATGAGTGTAATATAAAATAAAGACAAGGGGAATTTTAGGGGACATTATATGTTTCTTATGATTCAGTCATACATAATATCAAGCAAATCGCCCAAAACAGGAAAATTAAAATATGCAAAAGATCGTAATATTTTGTTCTGTTAAAAAGCATAATGATGGGTCCATTTTTCCCAAATATATATGTTTCTAAAAAGCGGTAAACATATTAGGTGGAAAAAGAAAAATTATCTAATAACGTAGGCAATAAGAAATATAGAACTAAACGGCAAGAAGGTAAAATAAAAAATTGCTGACAACAACCTGCGATGCCCAATGGATATCTAATGTATGAATTACATTATCTGGTTGATCCAGCTCGGGGTTCCATTGGGTTTCGCATGAGCTCTGCCCTCTTACATTAGCCTTCATGCACGAAATAAATAATCTATCGGGGTAGACATTTTTCCGATTCGGTGAGCTGAAGTTTCGTGGTGTGTTGATTTGAAGAAGTTTAGTCACTACCAATTAATTTTGCATTATTCAATGTGAATTCAATTTTCTTCGGATTATAGGAGAAACAAAAAAATATTGCTCGAATCAATCTAAAATTTTGACTACGTTTTACCCCTAAAGTAAGGAGTCGTCATACATTATCAATATTTATTATTGATGAGGTTTATAAAATTTTTGACGTAATTATATTCATTTCTATTCAAGATTATTATTGCTATCAATATATTATATAAATATGAATATATTATAATGCATTATTCATATTAGTGGCATATTTATTATTAAGTAAGCTTTAAATTAAATGGAGGTTATTCGATTGATGCAATGCTATATTAATTCTTTTAATAAAAAGCTAATTATGGATAATTGTTTTATAAGCAATTATGAAAAATTTGAATATGAAAAATGAAAAACATAAAATAATTTTTTAATTATTATAAATAATTCAGTTTTTTCATAATATAGATATTGATAGTACGAATCATAATTTCGTCTTACGCGAAAGTCACTATAGATTAATGTATAAATAAATTAATTTAAGTCATCCTCAATGCTCGCTGGTCGAGCTCGTTACGACGAGGAAGTTGAAATTAAATAACGACTCAATTGCAGGTTCAAAGCAAAATTTAAGTAATTATGATATTGTAAAAAATCAATGTTTAGAGATCGCACAATGACCTTATAGTTTATAAACTACACGAGCTAATTAAAATGTTTAAAAGTGCATTATACTACGTATGAAAACTGTAAAAGTTGAAAAATTGACTAGATTTTTCAACTGACTTCATATCAAACGTATATTTAATGATACACTAATGCAAATAAAAATCAACTTGACGCAATCATTTGAAACGGATAGTAATTCCGAATAAGATTTGCACTTATTTCGCCTAACATAACAAGAATCGAAGAAATACGTACTATATCAACGATTTAAAAGAAAGGGAAAATCGTAAAGATGAATGTGTCCTACGACACAATAATTGAAAGAAGTAATAATCTGCATTCTAAATCGATTACTTATAAAGCTAATTAATTATTTTATATGTATAGCTCTAAGTACATCAATGGTAAAACATAATGATAAATCATTGTTTCTATAAACGGGTATGAATAATAATAATGAATGAATTTCAGAAAATACAGAACGCAAAGGAAAGTACTTTGTCGACAAAAAATAGCTAAAAATTTGTATTAGATGGTTAACTGTTATATCGGTATATGTTATTTATTCCAAATAAGATTTTCAAGAGCGACAATGATAATCATTATTTATAATCATTATAAATATCTAATATTAAACAAAAAGAAAATAATACGAAAATGATAATCAATATATTGCGCACTATTCTGTTTTCTTCTAATTGACCAGGATTTATTATAATAGCTGATAATAATTTTATACAAGTGTACTAATCTGAGACTATATAGCTTTTTATAAGTTTTATACTTTAAGTCATTATTATCATTATTATTAATATTACTTTATTAAAGTTATTAGTAATTGAAATCTATTAGCGTCAAAACATATGCATAAATTATTTTAAATAAAGTTTTTTTATAAGTAGTATCTTTCGTTGCTATAGAACTGAAACAATTTGAATAACAATTTTATTAAATTCTTAAATATTTTAATATTACTGGAAATAAGAAAGATATGTACGACGTTGACGTTGTGAGGTAAAAATTAACGATTACAAAAGACCTAAATTTACACTACGGCCTAGAAAAAAAGACGAGATCGAAATGTCATGTAAGAAACTCTTATTGACAAAAGTGCAAAAATCCGCTCCTTCTTCATACACTTAACTATTTAGTAATATAAAATCGCGCCTTTTTCTACTGTTTCTCTGAGAATGCAATGGTGTTTTAGAATCATTACACATTATCGGATTTCGCCTTTCGAGCCTAATACTAAACATACTTATGCAGACGTGCGCGCGTGTGTGTTTGTATGTTGTCTTATATTGTATTCATGCGTGCGCGTTTGTGTTTGTGTGCGCGCGGGCGTGTAACAATAGATGTACCAAAAACGCAAGCACATATATATACATTTCACGCATAGGAATATATGCATGCACATTCACGTATGCGCGTGTACGCATACTCTAATACGTATATAAGTTTATAAATGCATAATTTTAATATATAAATCAAGATTATGAGAAAATTTCAATCTTTTGTTGAAATTGCTGTATAGCAAAATTATCTATTGATCTGAATAAACTAAACTTTTTTAATCAAATTGTAATGGGCATGTAAGGAACTTGAATACTGGATTTTTTATTTAAACAGTTTTGAAACAAAGTTATTCTATAAAATAATATGAGAAAACAATAGTAATAATAATATATAATAATAGCAACAATATGCAATAGTAGTTTAAAAAAATAATTGTGATTATTTTAAATTTCTCAAATTTCACACGGTTGTGACAGAAATATATTATTTACTATATACAAAAAGTATATTTAACAAATACCTCAAAATTCAATATGAGATGTTTGAGAAAATTCTCATTTTCTCTGTTTTTATAATGAGAATTCAAAGTCTTTCTATAGAAAAATAATGTATGGCCTACGATAGATAAATCTTAACTTTTTAACTATTGAATTAAAGTACAGATACAAATTATGGGTGTAAAATATTTTTTTATCAATAATTTTTAAATAATATATATGAAATTATAAATTTACACTTTTCAAAATATTTATTTAATGAAATAAATGAATAATTTATGGCAATTTTCAAGTAATTTTACTATTCATGAATTATATTTCAAATCAATGGATGGATTCCATTCGGATTATTTTTAGGTATATTACAAAAATCTAAACACATATTCAAAATTTATATAAAATAAAGATCAATGAAGTATTTCCAATAAACATTAACAATTACAAGTAAAAACTGATATATATATATATATACATTATCCGCCAATGAAAATATTTTATCATTTTTAAAATAATTAAAACTTTTTCCTTTTAAAATTTTTTCCTTTCACGCTTTATAAATAATAACTTTAATGAATATATAATCTTATATTATATTAAGTTTTTATTATTAAGTACATACGCAAGAATTTAAATATATCTAAATTTCAAAAAATAAGTAGTATATAAATTTCAAAAAAAGTTATATTGCAGAATACAGAAAATTCTATATTATTATTAGATTTGTTAAAGTAGGTTGTCATACTATTGCATATCTTTTCTGTAGCTTCCTTACATAATCTAACACTATTTATATTGTTACTTAATTATATTTATATATAGATATATTGCAA